TCTGCTCTATCTGCTCAAGCATGGGGCCCCCACATTCAAATTTGGGGCTCCTCCCCCTGCCCCCCTCAAGGTCTCCGAGCCGTGGGGCTGGGCCAGGTGTCGCCGGGCATGGCTGACTGACAGCCGCAGTCACTGGGTTTATTTTTTATTTGTTTTTCGTGTCAGTCCCGGGGCTTGAACTCAGGGCCTGGGCGCTGTCCCTGAGCTTTTTGTCTCCAGGCTGGCGCTCTACCACTTGAACCACGGCCCACCGCTTCTGGCAGTTTGGGCAGTTCATTGGAGAGTTTCACTCATTTGTCTTCTTGGCTGGATTCCAACTGTGATCCTCAGATCTCAGCCTCCTGCGTAGCTGGGATTACAGGCGTGAGCTACCGGTGCCCTGGCTTCCCTGAGCTTCTTCGGCTCAAGGCTGGCGCGCTACCACTTGAGCCACAGCGCCACTTCTGGCTTTTTCTGTGTCTGTGGTGCTGAGGAATCGAACCCAGGGCTTCGTGCATGCTAGGCGAGCACTCTACCACTGAGCCACCTGCCCAGCCCCCTCATTTTAGTTTTATTTATAGAACACTTGGATGAGAATCAATGTTTAGCTGATTTTCTAGAAAGCATGACTGCTCAAAAAAAAAAAAAAATGTATATCAGGGCACTGGAGCTCACGCCTGTAATCCCAGCTACTCAAGAGGCTGAGAGTTGAGGATCACGGTTCGAGGCCAGCCCGGGCAGGACAGTCCATGAGACTCTGATCTCCAAGGACCCACCAAAGAGCCAGAAGTGGCGCTGTGGCTCAAAGTGGTAGAGCAAAACAATAAAAATCTCAAGGACAGCGCCCAGGCTCCGAGTTCAAGTCCTACCACTCACCCCAAAAACAAAACAACAGAATGCAGCGCAGTCTTAGTTGATTCCTTTTTGTGTCTTCTCCATCCAGAGTGGTTCTCTTTTGAATGGCACAGTAAAATCACCTTGGGAAGAGTACAGAATACATCGATGGGAATACAGCTGTCCGAGAGATACTATACAGCAATGGAAAAGGAGCGAGCCTGAGGAAGGAAGTCCGGAGCGCCGGGGTTAAAGCCGCCTTAGTCTCTGTGGATTCTTCACCCGCGAAGCACGTGATTTGGACAATGGGCCCAGTTGTTTTCCACATCTGGATTTTACTCCTGAATATTCATCCTGAGAAGGCCAGGTGAGGTTTTGTAGTGGCCAGGGCGGGGTGGTGGGGTGAGGCGGGCGGAGGCCCAGGGCCCCCTGGGAAATCTCCAGGACCTTTGGGCCCTGTGGCCGGGGGTGTGGGGGGGCAAACCCCTCCACAGCTCCTCCCAGGCCTCTATTTTTGGTCCCCCAATTCCATTGCTCAACCTGATACTTGGTTGTTTTTAAGAGAACTCCCCCCACCCCAAAAAAAATAAGGGGCCGGCGTGGGTGGAAGTGTGGTTTTGGGATTGCTTCAACTTCTCCATTCCCCGATTTTTGTTTTTCTCACTTGGCTGCCAAACAGGTTACTGAATTTTCTCAGGGGGTCTAAAAACAGTTGAGGGAACCGAGTGAAAAACATACAGGAATTACTCAGCTTCTGCCCCGCGGAGGCCGCGGCCTCCTTGCTCCAGACAGAGACCTAACTGGGGTCGAACAAAAGCGTTTAGCTCCAAGGCCCAGTGCTGGTGCACATGCCTGTAATCCCAGCTACTCAGAAGGCCGAGAGCGGGAGGAGGATGGTTTCAAGCCAGCCCGGGGCAGGGAAGTCCCTGGGATTCTTATCCCCAGTGAAGCAGCAAAAAACTGCCGGTGGAGCTGTGGCTCAAATGGTAGATGCCAGCTGGAGTGAAAAAGTTAAGGACCAGCACCTAGGCCCTGAGTTCAAGCCTCAGTACTGGCACAAAAAAGAAAGAAAGAAAGGAAGGAAGGAAGGAAAGAAGGAAAGAAAGAAAAGAAAAAGATCTTACAAAGAGCTCAAGAAACTGATTTTCTTGCCTATGGTCTTACTTGACTTTTTTTTTTTTTTTTTTTAGCCCGTGGTGGGGCTTGAACTCAGGGCCGGGCGCTGTCCCTGAGCTCTTCTTGCTCAAGGTGGGCGCTCTACCACTTGAGCCACAGCGCCACTCCTGGTTTTCTAGTGATTCATTGGAGATCAGAGTCTCACAGACTTTCCTGCCCAGGCTGGCCTTGAACTGCGATCCTCAGATCTCAGCCTCCTGAGGAGCTGGGATTCTAGGCGGGAGCCACCAGCGCCCCGGCCTCCACCATAGTGTGAGTTCTGTCTCGTGGCCCATATTTCAGTCGGTCCATATACAAAAGGTGAACAAATAATACCCACAGTCTTTTGCATGGCTGTATACTATTCCCGAAGCCCAAAGCTGTAGGATCCCATTGATACCCGTGGGGTAGGAAATACTGCCCTCACTTTGCAGACAGGATGTCTAGACAGTTACCTGGCAGGAGCCGAAAACAAGCCGATGATTCTCCACACTCGGACCTCACGGGAGACAGAAGCGAGGCTCACGTGCAGCATCGTCTGCTGCGGTTGCCATATTGAGAAGTCAGGTGATTGCAAGGGGGGAAAAGAAAGTTGATCCAGGCATGGTGGGGTACAGCAGAGGTGTCAGCACTTGGGAAACTGAGGCAGGGAGGTTTCAAGTAACACAGTGAGTCCCTGTCTAGGAGAAAAAGAGAGACGGGGGGAGGGAAGAGACAGAGAAGGAGGGAAGGAGGGAGGGAGAAAGAAGGAGGGGGGAGACAAAGAAAACAACAGTTATCTGCTCCCGTGAGTGGCAGTTTTCAGATTAAAGGGCATGTGAAGCTGGGCGCCAGTGGCCCCCGCCTGTCATCCCAGCCACTCAGGAGGCTGAGAGCGGAGGATCCAGGTTTGAAGCCAGTCCAGGAGGGAAAGTCTTCATAAGACTCTTATCTCCAAAATAGCCAGAAAAATCATGCTGAAACGTGGAGCCATGGTTCAACAGGTAGAGCGCCAGCCTTGAACAAAAAAAAAGCTCAGGGACAGCACCCAGGCCCTGAGTTCAAATCCCAGCACCACCCCCAAAAAGAAAGGAAAAACAAAAAAGAAAAAGAGAAAAGGCTGGAGCTGGTGGCTCACGCCTGTAATCCCAGCTCCTTAGGAATCTGAGGTTCTCGGTTCAAAGCCAGCCCGGGCAGAAAAGTCCATGAGACTCTGATCTCCAAGGAACTAGCAAAAAGCTCAAAAGTGGCACTATGGCTCAAGTGGTAGAGCACCAGCCTTGAACCAAAAAAGCTCAGGGACAGCACCCAGGCCCTGAGTTCAAGTCCTAGTACCAACACACACACACACACACACACACACTCACACACTCAAATGACCAAGAAATCAAGGCAGAGAGAAAAGAGAAAAGTACTAGAGATAAGGAAAAGAAAGAGAAAACGTGGGAAATCAATAAACTGAAGTGATCAGACATTGAAAAAAACAAGAAAAAGAAAACCGACCAAAAAAACAAGAAACCACAGTGAGGGTTTGAAAGCGAAGCGAGTCTCGCTTTCAGAGCCACAGACGCCAGCGCCCGGGCCTATTTATATACACAATATTTGCTTTTACCTCCTGCCTTCTGCCCAGAACTGCTCATACTTCATGGCTGGATGGTTTGGGGTTTTTTGTTTTTTTTTTTTAAGAGAAAAGAAAAAAAAATCAAAATAGAAAAGAAAATAATAGAAAAAAAAAAAAGAAATCAGGGCAAAAAGGAAAAAAAAAAATCCACCGGATAATAGAGAAAAATACAAAAGAGAACATGATAGAAAAACTCAGAGAGAAAAGAATACAAAAGAGAAAAATAATAGCAAAAAAAAAGAACGTAAAGGAAATAGTAGAAAAACACTAGCAAAAAGGAGGAAAAAATAGCAGGAAAAAGAATAGAAAAAGTAACAGAGGAAAAAGAATAGAAAAAAGAATAAAGGAAAAAGAATAGAAAAAAATCGGAATAGAAAAGCAAAAGTAATGGGAAAATAGAAACGCCAAAATACTAGAAAAACCATAGAAACAATTGACAAGAGGAAAACTCGTGGAAAAAATAATAGAAAAGAAAAAAACAATAGGAAATAATAATAATAATAACAACAGTTCCTCCAGCATGGAGAAACTCAGAACATACTTTCTCTGGTGTTTCCTTTGTGAATTATGTGAAGAGATACAAGGCCATGTATTTTGTCTCTGTGTGTCTCTGTCTGTCTGTCTGTCTGTCTGTCTGTCTCTTTCTTTCTTGTCCTGGGGCTATTTTTTTTTCCTTTGGTCGGTTGTGGGGCTTGAACTCTGGGCCTGGGCGCCGTCCCTCAGCTCTTCAGCTCCAGGCTGGTGCTCTACCACTTGAGCCACAGCTCCACTTCTGGCTTTTTCGTGGTTCATTGGAGATAAGAGTCTCACGGACTTTCCTGCCCGGGCTGGCTTTGAACCAGGATCCTCAGATCTCAGCCTCCTGAGTAGCTGGGATGACAGGCGGGAGCCACTGGCGGCGCCCAGCTCTGGGGCTTGAACTCAGGTCCCTGAGCTTTTGTGCTCAAGGCTGGTGCTCTACCGCTTGAACCACACTTCAACTTCCAACTTTTTGGCGGTTCGTTGGAGGTAAGGGTCTCACAGGTTTTCCGGCGCCGCCCATTGCTCCATTTCCTAATCTGCCATCTGTTTCTGGCAGGTTTCATCCTTCCTTCCCCGTAACACAGCCCTGGCAGAGCCAAAACAAGAACTGCATGCTGGGAGTCTGTGAGATTCCATCTCCACCAGAACCAGCAAAAAGCTAGGCTGGAGACCTGTCTCAAGTGGTTGAGCACCAGCCTTGAGTGAAAAATAAATGAAGAGGTAGCACCCAGGCCTCAAGTTCAAGCCTTAGGCCTGAAGAAAGAGAAGAAGAAAAGGAGGGGGAGGAGGAAGGGGGGGCAGAAGGAGGAGCCTTGAAGTTCCTATGCTGTGTGCACTCCGTGCAGCTGCGCACTGTTTAGTTGAACACCTACTTGCAGCTGCGCACTGTTTAGCTGAACACCTACTTGCA